AAAGGCATTAAGTGAGCAACACCCAAAATTAAAAGATTTAGGTCAATCTACTAAAAAAAAGGAATGTAATAATGAAAAAGTATCATTATTATATTGAACACTTTTAGAAGATTACATGAAATATAAAGAATGATTCAAAAAAAAAATGGTAAGCTTTTGGTTTTTGTATATTTCGAATTACTTATTGAAATTCTTTCTAATACATGATAAGTTGACTTAAGTACTAATTTTTATATTTCTAATAGATGCAAGAATTTCTTATGGTCTAAACCATAAATTCAAATAAGAATTTCTCATTTATGGTAATTGGGAAAAAGTTTTGTTGAAACCATTGTGACATTATGTTTAATGTTAGATAGTGGATTTTATTTAAATTATTTTAAACTTTTATGTTTATTCAATTTCCTATAATTTAATTTTATTTCAAAAAAATTTGTTAATGGTTTTTTATTTAAATTTGATAATGATGTTTATTCAAGAAATTCTAATTTGTGAGTTATGGTATTATTGTTGATGATTTCTGTAAATTTAAACTTGATAATTTATTTATTAAAAAACCTTTTGATCTTGTATCATAATGTTAGAATTAAGCATAACTCAATTAATAGAAAATTTATCTTCCTTGTGGCATAAAAGACTAGATCAATATCTAGTGAAATGTTAGGAAAATTAGTAAAGGATGTGATTCTTCTGAATCTAAACTTTACTGATTTTTGTGTGTGTGTGGATTGTATTAAAGGTAAACAAACCAAACACACAAAGAAATAAGCCACAATAAGTAAATAGCTTCTTGAAATTATTCATATAGACATTTGTAGACCTTTTGATGTTCCATCTTTTGGAGGAGAAAAGTATTTTATTGCCTTTATAGTTTGATTTTTCACATTATGGATATATCTATTTGTTGTATGAAAAATCTCAAGCAGTGGGTACTCTTGAAGTATATATAAATGAGGTTGAAAAACAATTAGATAGAAAAGTAAAAATCATAAAGTCATATAGAGGTGGTGAATATTATGGAAAGTATGATGAAACGAGTTAATACTCTAACTGTTTGTTAAACTCCTTGAAATATATGGCATTTGTGCTAAATACACTTTGCTATACATGCCACAGCAGAAGTGTGTAGCTGTAAGGCGTAATCGTACTCTTATGGAATTGGTTAGGAGTATGTTAAGTAATTCCTCGTTACTCATAATGTTGTGGATATTAAGTAATCTAAAGGGTACAAGTTTTACTATCCTAAACATAGTACAATAATTATTGAAACCGGTAATGACAGATTCATTAAGAATGGTGAAATCAGTGGAAGTGATAAAAATAAGAATTTGATCATTCCAGAAGTTAGGGTACAAATCTCTTTACCCGTAACTTCTAAGGAAATATTTGTTCCTTTAGTTGTTGAACCGTACAATAACGAAAAATAATTGAATGATCAACAACTCTATAATGAGATTGTCACCAATGAATAGATTGTAGAAGAATTATAAGGAATAATATTAATACGATCTCAAAGAGAAAGGAGATCTATTATTCCGGATGACTATGTGATATATCTGTAAAAATTTGATTTTAATATATAGTGAGATATATACGGATCTGGTTACATATTCACAAGCCATTAACAGTAATGACTTTACTAAATAAATTAGTGCCATAAATGAAGAGATTATAAAGAAACCTTCTCTCCAGTATCTAAGAAGGAATATTTTAAAATATTATGGCATTAGTAACTTATTATGATTTAGAGTTACATTAAATGAATGTGAATACAACTTTTATGAATGAGAGTTTATAAGAGAAAGTATATATGGAACAACCTGAAGGCCTCACATTAGAGGGTAAAGAAATTAATGGTCTGTAAACTTAAGATGTCAATATATGAATTTAAACAAGCTTTCTAACAATGGTATATTAAGTTTAATGATATCATTATTTTTTTTTTATTTTAAAGAAAACACTATTAATCAGTGTATATACTAGAAAGTTAGTGGGAGTAAGTTTATATTTCTGATTCTATATATTGATGATATTTTATTTGCTAGTAGTGATCTTAGTTTATTATATGAAACTAAAAGTTATCTCTAAGAACTTTGAAATGAAAGATATAGATGAGGCATCCTACATGATAGTAATAGAAATATTTCTTAATAGATCACGTGAATTTTTAGAATTATCTCAGAAAGCATATATTGAAAGAGTTCTAAAAGGATTTGGTATGGAATATTATTCAACTAGTATTGCTTCATACATAAAAAGGGATAAATTCAGCCTAATGCAATCCCATAGAATGAGTTAGCTAGAAGGTAAAGAAGCAAAAAATATTCCTTATGCATATAATGTGAAGTTTGATGTATATACAAGTTGGTATGTGATAAAAGATTATATGCTCACACTTAGGAAGATATTTTTTAATTGGTTATTTGTTTATTTTGGCTGGAAGAACAATATTATGAAAAAGTATAAAGTAATTTTTTATTACTTTGTCTATTATGAATTTTTAATTTGTAGCATGCTTTGAGGCTACAATTTATTATTGCTGAATTTATTTCAGAATTTGGAGTTATAGGTACTATTTTCAGATTGCTGAAAATTTATACTGCAATTGTTGATCTTCTTGTATTAAAAATGATAGGTATTATAAAGTTGAAATACTTTATCATTAAAGAAGATGTTGAGAAACAATGAATGTCTATTGAACATATAATAGACATTAACGAATGGACTACTACCCAAGACATTTATAGCACATGTTAAAAGAATGGGTCTTGAATGTAGTCAATGATGATTATTTTTTAATTGTGGATTGCTTAACAGTGCTTATATATATTTGACATTTTGTGCTCATTAATTGTGTTTCTGATATTTCCTATTAGTTAATGTTACGTATTGCTTTAATAAGTGGTAATATGAATAGTCTTGGAAAAGACATTATTGTTAGATCATTATTGATATATAGACTATGTTGAATAGGTTACTAGTGTTGTGGTACATGGAAGGGACTGTGTCATTTAGGGACATACAACCACCATGATTCACATTGGTAGTTTGTTTACCATAGTATTTATGATGACCAACTTAATACCTTAATCTGATTTATGGTGCACACTAATGACTATTTTACTAAACCACTACAGAAATTACATATGTGGCCAAGTAGGAGAATGTAAGATTATTTATTTAATTGTGGCCCACATGATTTGGACATGTGATATATTATTTGGTGACTAAGTAAATAGATATCAATTAATATTATTTATTTTTAGTCAACTTATAATTACTTTTTTGGAAATTACTTATTGAAGAAGTGTTTTCCTTTCTTATTTCTTACTAAAAGAAAAATTGATCATCTCCCTGCCTTTATAAAAGTGCATTTACTCCATCAATTATGTACAATTAATGATACAACACGTAAAAGTTTTATATGTGTAAAAGGCCAAGAGAGATAAACCAGTTCCCACCTTTGCTTATTGATCAGAGTTGCAGATTAGTTCGTGGTTAAATGATCTAGACATTGGATTTAATCTCAACAAGGTTTGATATTATGAATCGAGGTATTTATATCTAACCATTTATTTATGCATTATAGATATGTGAAAATCATGAAATTCTAAGATATGAAATTCATGTAAATTTGTGATTAATGGCTTAACACAAATTATTAAAGTTTACAGTCATACCCATTAGTAATGGGGTGTTCTTCTCAGCATACATACAGTGAGATCATTTGAGGGAAGGACAGGAACCCAAGAGTTGGAGTTTCTTTGTTTGAGGGAGCATGATTCAGACAAAACTTTGCAGACAAAGAAACTCCAACTCTTGGAGTCCTGTCCCCCGAATGATCTCACTGTATGCTGAGTAGACCACCCCATTACTAATGGGGTATGGCAAATTCACTTAATTCCTTGCGGATGCAACTGTTTTGTATAAGATATACACACAAATATATAACAGATCATACAACATAGCTACTAGTACTTTTGAATTTGTTGGGCTGAGATAGTGTCTGCACCTTAGTCCACTCTCTTTGTTAGACAGAATAACCTCTTTAGCCTTAGACTCTTTAACCTCAATCCCCAAGGATTAATTTTGAAAAAAAAAAAAAAAAAAGTAACAAAAAACAAAAGCTATCAACACATATGTGTATATATATATATAAATATTAACTCACCCGCCCCCTTGGCCTCCGTCTCCTTCAGCCTAATTGGTAAAGTAGGATGGACTTGATGTCGTTTACTGCCTTGAGTGATTTCTCGCAGTCAACACTCTCCTCCTTTTGCACTTCAGTGTCTCTTTCAGCTTTTTTCTCATTAAAGTTTAAATTTTTTTTGTCTACATGTATGGTATACCCTAACCCAGCTTTATTCTCATTAAACTTTTGAATTTTTTTTTGTCTACATGTATGGTATACCCTAACCCCGCAATGAAGATGTGGATTATCACCGTATCAAGTTTAAATCTTCCATATGATGCCCCAGATTCTGAAACATACAACAACAAAGAACCATGAATATTACAGAATATTACAGAAGCAAATAAACGAGTAATGTAGCAGCACTTTCTATCACTACAATTCACCCATCATTGGCTGCAAAGAACTTGCAATAGACCCAAACCTGCACTTTGAATTTTATATACGTTCTTTCACTATCAATATAGAGGGAGAAAGCATAGAAGCCGCCTCAGGCGTTGCATATAGGGGTGACAATTCGGGTTCACGTATCATAATCATGTCGTGTCGACCTATGGGTATAATATTAAACATGTCAACCCCAACACAACACGATTAATAATCATGTCACATATTCTAAACCCGTACATAACATGTTTATTAAACGGGTGATACGACACAACACGTATAACCCATTTAATAAACAGATTATATTAGACACACCAAACACGACCTGTATAAAGACCTGTTATACACGTTTACCCGTTTAACAACTTAACCTGTTTAATTTGGCTAAAGATTAAAATAATAGCAAACAAGTAAAAACAAATAAAAACAAAAGAGATTAATAAAAATGTCTGAAACTCACATAAGTCATAAGTTGATACAAAAGACACAGATTAAAAACAAAGCTAGTAAAGTTATTAATTATTACAGAACCAAATAAATTGTTTAATGGAAATGTCTTAAACTGAATCTTGAGGGATTTTAAGTTTTGGTCATGTTCAGCAGGATCATCATTCTTTATATTTAGTTTCATCACATCATCAATCAAGTCATCCATTTGAAGCATCATTGTACCTATAAAAAATCATAAACAAAAAATTTATTAGTTCACTATTTTCTGCAATAAGAATATAATTTGAAATTAAACAAACTTTTGAGTTAAAAATGTGTAATAAATTGAGAGCTAATGAAGTAAAACAAAATTTTCTCTGAATGGCAGAGATTCACTTTATATCCATTGTACCAGTTAAAACTTATACAAAATGAGTAGTAATGGAAATAAATCAAAAATCTCCACATATACAACAGAGAGTCACTATAACTTCCAGGTTACCCATTTAGCACACAAATGAAAAAATATCCATAGAACTAAGTTAAGTCTGAGGCACACTGCTTCTAAACTTCACAATAGTTTTCTTATATTTTCCTTCTGTTTCTTTTCATACAATTTATTTTCTCAGAAAAATTTCTTCCCTTTCCGATTGAGCATCCAACTATGATGATTCTTCTGTTGATTGCACACATGAAACACGAAATTGAATAGAAATACAGGTACCTCTACACATGCAGATTCCTATTTCCTGTGGATCTCTGCATTTTCTCCACACTCAAAAAAATAATAAAATAAATAAATAGACCCATTTCATAACAGTTTTTGTTTAATGTTTACTTTTTTTAAGCTTAAACATAATCAGTGTTTATGTTGTTCTCTTTCCTAAGAAGAACATTCCCATTAGAATAAATCAAATGAAAAAGGCATTTTTTTATTATTTATTAATAAGTAAAATTCATTAAGGAGAGCTGAAAAGAGGAGTGCATTTGAAAACAACTGCACAAAAGCCCAAAAAAAAAAAATCAACTATACACTCAGGCTATCCACAAAAACAACAAATTCAGCAAATCAGCAATCAAAAAAATTAAATCGATCCCATAAACAAAATCCCAACGAAAACCATAAATAATTTTAGATAAACCATAAAGAGGGAGGACCAAAACAATATTTAGATAAACCATACACCATAAATAATTTTAGTATTTTACCTAAACAAGAAGATAGATCCGGGTGAGTTCACTGAGTTATAGAAGAATCAGGTGTGTGCAATGAGTTGTACAAGACGGAAGATTGGAGACGGACTGAAGATAGAGATCCGATCATCCAGGTGAGTTCACGATAATAGAGATGGAGGACTGGAGACTGGACTGAAGATATTAGATATATCGATGATAGAGATCGATCATTGAGGATTTGAGAGAGAAAGGGAGTCGTCTCTTCACTCTTGTCTGAACTCTGAAGAGGAAAGAGGAGAGACATAGACTAGAGAGAGACTGAAGAGTCCAGAGAGAAGAGAAAGAAAACGCAGCGGCAGATATTCTCTAATGACTAAAGGCGCATTATGTAGGGTTTCTTATGTATAGTATGAAATGACCTAAATGTCCCTTATCAGGTCAAAATAGGTTATACGGTTTCACGGGTGACACATTTAATTAAACAGGTCAAAACGAATTAAATGGGTTGAACTCTAAAACCCGAACACGACACGTTTAACTTAACGGGTTAATCATGTCAATCCGTTTATGATACGAACCCGTTTATAGTAAACCCATTACCCATTTAACTCGTATCGTGTACGTGTCGTGTTGGCGAGTCATGTCGAACTTTGCCACCCCTAGTTGCATAGCAGAGCTGGCTCCAATCACCGATGCCATGATTTCTACAACAAAACATAATGGAACACAATTAGCTTAAGGAAAAATATGTGATTAAAATCAAATAACAATGCTGATAAGCTTTGAAAAAATGAATAGTAAGTTATCATCTAGTTTAGCTCAACTTGACAAAAACTAATCCTCCTATCACCACAAGTCAACAACCGAATGGCTAAGCACCGTTTTCTTCTTCCTTTCTTTCCTACTCTTCTTTTTTTATTGGGATTTTAGAACGAGTGCCCGCGGGACCGGGAGCGGCAGCGGGGGTGGGTAGGCAAGGCAGTTTCAAAAGTGCATGTTACACATGAAAGCAACATTAACTATAGCTCCTAAAGAAATACTGATGCAGGCATCAGAAAAATTTCAGCAATGCAACATATTCCCTTAGAGGATGTTCACTGAGAAGTGACAGAAGTCCTATCTTCAAGGAAGTAAAAACATTACAAAAATATATTGAGCCATTCTAACATCCGTTTCTTATAGTATGACCCACACACCCATGTCCAACGGAACTTGAATCCTTGCAACTCCCCTTTGAGAGTGGCAGAAACTAATAGATTCCTCGGTTCTTCAAGAGTGTGTTTGGTAGGGTTGATTTGGAGGGATAGGGAGAGAAAAGAAAAGAGAGGATAGTGTAGTGTGTGTTTGGGTAAGTTAAGTGGAGGGATAGGGAGGGATAAGGAGAGATAGGGAGGGATAGCTATCCCTCCCTATCTTTCATTTGCTTTCTCCTCAATTTTGAGAAGATAGGGAGAGATAGGGAGAGAAAGGATAGTGGTTTTAGTGGTATTTTGATAATACCAAAATTAGCCTCCACAAATCAATACACAGATTTATTATTCCATTCAAGTCCCGTGATTATGAAAGGATAAAAAAGTAATTTGTCTATTATCCTTTCTTTTCTTTTCTCCCCTCTATTTTATCCAAACAAGAATAACTATCATTTCTTTTCTTTTCTCCCGTTCTATCCAAACACAAATAGAAATTATTACTATCCTTTCTTTTCTTTTCTCACCAAACTATCTTTTCTTTTCTTTTCTCTCATAACTAATACTATCCAAACACACCCCAAGTGTTTATACCTTCACAACTCATCAAAACTAACATCTTATTCCCACATACTGAGGCTACCAACACAAATCCTTTTTCACCACTCCATTGTATCAAATTTGATGCTTATCTTATTTATAAAGCTTGTTCCATCATAAGTCATGACATATTATGTAGCATTACCACAGCCAACTAAATATTCCATAGGCAGCTGATTTGGAAAAATCCCTATACCATTAAACTTTTACAACGAATAACTTATCATTATGTCACTGTTAACAGATACATAAATTTATCAAAATCACCTAAACACTAAGCATTGTTTAAACAAGAAATGAAACAGAAATTAAAAAATAAACACAAAAATAATAATAATACTAGCTTTGTAGAAGAACAAATTTGCTCAGTTATGCTATTATAAATGGTTTTCATTGACTTTATGACTGCTACAAACTACAACATTACTTAGCAATTTAAGTAGTGTATATATCATAAGATTAGGTTATAAGCAAAATATAATTTCTAAATAACATTTTCAGTACTATATTCTCAAGAAGTTTTGATTAGAAATTCACTACTCATTAATTCATTTATACAAAATTACCATTGAACAGTTTAGGTAAGAAATGGATAATTTATTGGTTTATGGGAAATGAAATGCATGTTTAACAAGTATGCACAAATAAGTCCTAAATAAGTAAAATTTGGTCCATAAAAGATGTCATAAATAATTTTCATGTCAAAAAAATAATAATAATAAAATAAAATAAATATTAATAAACAACTACTAAAACTCACATTTGGTTAAATGGATCACGTACTCATTTTAAGGCAGTAAAACTAAATATGAAGAAAAAAAATTAACACATTAAAAAAAACAATTAAATCTTAAGATGTAACATGATCAGAAAAGTTAAAATGCATTTAAAGACACGTACCTGTAATTTTTTCCGACACCACTCATTTCACTTGAATTCTACCTTTTTGTAATTGAAAATTTCTGCATTACCTATAAATCAAGGAATAAAATATTTGAAAAATTGGATGGCGTTAACAAGAATACTTAATAAACACGGCATAGAAGAGCTTACCCTTTGAACGAAGATAACTCTACAATGGAAGCCATTGATGTGAACAAGGGGTGGCTTCATTCTCTCTGAACAGTTTCTCTCTCTACAGTTTCTCTCTCTAAGAAATCAGAATGGTGAGAAAAAGGGCGATTACGTATTTAAAGGAGGACTTGTAATTCATTTTGAACTCTCAATTGAATGAATGCGCTCTTTTATCTGGTTGGTTTTAGACTTGAATTCGTAGTACAGTCTTCGCACGTACTAGTCAAAAGCTCATAGGTCAGTCTTGACAGCTAATGTACACAGGTGTGGGAGAGAGAGAGGATTGAAATGATGATGGAAGAGAAAAGATACAAGCCGTTGGATGCATTGATTGATGACGTTGATCGCAATAAAGGTGCTTGTCATTGATGTGTAGTTTTGCTTCAGGAAGGCAGAGGCTTTATAGTGACAACTCAAAAGTCACCCAACACAGATTGCACAAAAAAAATAACACGAAATTTAAATTACTACCTCCGAGTCGGATTAGTTTTCCATCTTTAATTTTATAATTTTTTTAAAAAAATATTCGATGTATTATTCTTTTTTAAAATTAGTAAATTATTTTTTTTAATTTAAATATATATAATTATAAAATTTAAAATTTTTTAAAAAGATAAAGGACGAAAATAGAAATATAAAGAAAAGATGCTTTAACTTTTCAAAAAGGACAACTAATTTGAGACATGTAAAAAGAAAAAAATGAATTACTTAGTAAGGGACGGAGGGAGTATTAAACTAAACAATAAATAAGGGAACATGTAGATCGAGGCTTCACTTGTACTTTATGGGTCAATTTGGTGCAATGAAAAAAAGAGTGACGGAGGGTGATTAAAAAATTATATTTGACATAAATTGTTAGAGAGAAAAGAAAAAATATATTTTCTTTGTTTAAAAAAAAATGTCATACTTTTTTTTTGGTTTGTCCTAGAATAATTGTTCACTTTTTTTAAAAAATAATATATTTTATATCTTTTCATATATGTCCTTAGAATTTAAATTTTCAAACTTGAATATAAGGGTAAATTAGTAACTTTTGAAATGATATCATAAGACTTAAATAGTAACTTTCTTATCCTCCTGAAGATGAGAGAAAATAGAAGGAAAAAAAAGAAGAGGCTTAATGTATTATTTCTGATGTCAGATTTATCCTTACACAGATTCAAGAATACACTTGATTGTAGGAGAGAGAGAGAGAGAGAGAAAGTGGGGGCAAGTTCAGTGAGAACGAGAATAGAGCTGGAGGCAATTGGGGAGGTTGAAATGATTTGCCCTAAATTTTATTTATTTTTATTTTTTTCTAGTGGCCCATCATCCGTGGCCTATAAATTACTGAGTAGTTAAATTTATAAATTTATCTTTTAAAAATATAAAAAGGGTATAATAATAAATTTATTAAAATAGTTTTCTTTCCTTTCTTTTCCCAATCGGATTATTATCTTCTTTTTTTTTTTTTTTTTCCTTTCATTAATCAACTAAATACGATAGAGGGTTAAAATTATTCTTCCCTCTCCTTTCCCTCATAATTAATGTTATCATTTCTTTTCTTTCCCACCATACCAAACATAGCTTAGTGTTTGGTACAATTGAAAATAACGAGATAGGAAAAAAAGAAAAAAATGTTAATTACCGTGTAGTTGATTAATAAACAAAAATAAAATAAAATGATAGTAGTAATTATATTTGGGAAAATACCATACTATTTTTCGTTTTGTTTAAAATATAATGATAAGAGCAAATTTAGTATTAACGAAGTTTTATTAAAAAAAAATAATAATAATTTGCATTTCCTTGCATTTTCTTTCATTTCTTTCCATTTTTAAGTGGATAACAAAATCATCTGTATCTGTTTGAATTTCTCATTCCTTTTCTTTTCATTTAGGCTTCATTTGGATGGAGTGATTTTGAGGGATTTGGCAAAGAAAAGAAAAATAGTGAAAAATGTGTTTGGATAACTTTTAGTAAAGAGAAAAAAAAAAAAAAAAGATTTGGAGGGATAGCTCTCATGTGCTATCCTCTCAAAAATGAGAAATAATAGTGAGCAAGTAGTATTTTTATAATTTCAAAACTACCTTATAACATTTGAGTCATTTGACTCTCATTTTATAAAAAAATTATGATAATAATTTAGTTCTTATCCTTTTTTTTTTTTTTTTTTTTCCTTTTTCTTTTGTGTCATCTATCTTTTTCAAAGAAGAATACTAACATTTCTTTTTTTTTTTCTTTTCTTTTTTTCTCTCATAATTTATCCAAACATGACTAATAAAGGTAATTGTTATAATTTACTTTCTTTTATTTTATCTTCTAACTAATACTGTCATTTATTTTCTTTTCTCTCGTGTTTATCCAATCGAAGCCTTAGTAATTTATACCAAACAAAATATTTCATTTACTCTACAACCAAACCAAACTGAACCTCGACATTAATGGATCTTTTGATTATTAGGTATTTAGAGTTACGTCTAACATATTATATTGTTAATGTTACAAGGGGGAACTTTATCCCTCATTGGATTTAGATAGAAAAATGTAAGGATATAAATAGATGTGTATGTAGTATTACCTAATACCATAAGCTTTTGACCAATTATAATTGATATCAAAATTAAAATCATATATAGTAGTATGTGCCCGTAACTTTGCTACTCATTTTCGAAAATGATTCATTTACTCATTTTGGAGAGTACGTGTGTTAGCTTGAAGGATTAAAAATACTAACGACTTGTCCTCATAATT